AACTGACCTAGAACCTATCCAAACCACCGAGTTACAATCTTCACAATAAGTTTGTACCAATCAACCTAACTTTAATTTTCTGACCGTGGTTTGCCAAGTTACTCAGCCTCCTAAAGAAACAGCTGTTGCTTCAAAGCCTGTCACTTGTCTCTAATGGCAAGAAATCAATATCACCGAAATTTGATCCTCCGAAACAGTTTTCTATCCAGAATTTAAAGAGAAGGGCAATGACCATGACCTTGAACCTTACATGTCCAACAATCCATCAACCTTATCAAAATCACAAAGTATACAATATGCAACTGCTATGATTTGCAAGATTATCAACACATTTTTGATGAAGATATATATGTATTTTACAAGTATAAAGTTTTTCAGCTTGTTGGTATAGTGTTAGATATTTACTATAAAATATTAAACACAGATCTAGCAAGATAAATATTCTGGCAGTACAGGTAAGAAAAACATATAAACGAGATAATGATGACTTAATAAATAAGGAATCATGTGATGCAAGGAAAGTTGGTTCCCTGTGCTGCGCCAGGAAATTTTTCTCCCCGGAATCGATCCTTCAAATCTACAAATCAACCATTCGCCATTGCATGGAGTATTGCTGCCATATATGGTCTGGAGCCCCTTCTGTTTGCCTTGGGGTACTTGATAAGATCCAGAGATGGATATGCAATGCAATTGGCCCTGATCTGGCATCTCGGCTACAGTCGCTCTCTCACAGACGTGCCATTGCCTCTCTCTTTTTTACAAATACTTTTATGGTAATTGCTCTGATGAGCTGCTTTCGCTGGTTCCCAGGCTTCATGAATCCAAGTGTCCTACGAGCCTGGCATCCTGCTCTCACACTTTCACTGTTGAAAATGTTAAATGTAGCCATCTCTTCTACTCCAATAGCTTCTTATCTCACACCTCTCTCCTGTGGAACTCCCTTCCCTTTTCCTGTTAACCTGATAGCTATAATCCCCAACTATTCAAATGTAACGTCAATCGACATCTCCAGTTGCCTTGATCTATCCACTAGCCTTCTCTTCATCCTTTCCTCTATCACTCCTATCTGCTCTCGCTCCAAATCCTATGTAACCCCTTGCGTGCTAGTGGCTTCCAGCCTTGCTTAGGGTGAAATGCTTAAAAAAAAAAAAATATATATATATATATATATATATAGATATATATTTCCAAAGGCTCATAGAATTACCTATATTGTCATATGGGAAGAAAATGAGTAACTACCGACACCAAAGTCTGCATGTAACACTCTGGACTTCTGAATATTTGTTTTCTGTCAGGTGTATAAATAGATGTGTCAAGTTAATGACTACAGGTGATTACTAAGTGACTATCCAGTCAAATTAGTGTGAATTATTGTGTGTTGATGATCTGGGTTTTGATTTAGGATTTACTGAACATTAAGTCAAGCCATGCTACTAACAAGGTATTCACTGAAATGGTTAATTATATTTGGTTGTGATGGAATGGAATAACCTGTCACCCCCATGAATGACTACACCATAGATAGTAAATACCTATAAGTATCTGTAAGTCAACGGACTACATAGACCTAGATGGGATCCGTTGAGTATGATTCCGAACTACAGACCTTCTGATAGTAGCACTCACTACTGGATTGACTTGCGACAACCTTGTGCATAACTGTTACTTTTATTCTTATTGTATTGGTTTTTACAATCAACCTTTATTTATTTTATACACCTTGTTTTTCAAGTATATATTCCTATTAGCATGGAATATGACAGGCTGACCTTTGCTTCTTTGTTCTTGTTAAGTATTTATTTGCATATATATGTTTGTGTGTGTGTGTGTGTGTGTGTATATGCACATTTCATTGAAAATGACAGACAAGCTGCTTTTATTTAGTTTTTGATACAATTTCTCATGCAATCTAATAATCTAATAATAACTTTGAACATGGACATAGTATCTTGACCATGTTTTGAAAAATGAAAAAATTTTATAAAACATGCATGCAACAAACTAATTCTTATTTTAACAGTTAAAATATAATCCTTGAAAATGGCTAAATGTATAGCCGAAAAAATAATTTTATATAAATAAAATAATAATCTTGGATAAAAAGAACATTCGGACAGTTTTTATATATTTTATCATCCAAAAAGAAAAAAATTATTAGACTGCATGAGAAATTGTATAAAAAACTAAATAAATGCACCTTGTCTGTCATTTTCAATGAAATGTGCATGAAAGAAGGATTGCTGCCTAAATACGCAAATATATATATATATATATTTGAAAATAATTTAAGAAGAAAATAATTATAATATTTTGCTCTACTTTCTGTATCAAGCACTGTTTCTTTTAAATAGAAATAATTGCTAAGAACACCTGATTATAAATCTTACTGTTCTTATTATTTTAATATATGTGTGTGTGTGTGTGTGTGTGTGTGTGTGTGTGTGTGATATAACAATACATAATTTTGTATAATTTTATATATCAACAAATAGTATAGTATGACAAATTTGAAAAAAGTTTTTGTGACATGTTTCATCTGTTAGGATTTTCTTTTTACTAAGCTTTGTTGATGTTGTCATGTCGACACATATGCATGAAACAAGAGACGCTGGTAGCTTCACAATTTTTGAAAGAATATTTTTTCAATCTAGCCAAATTCATCTGTATTCTTTTTCTTTTTCTTTTCTCTCCATCACCATTGTCCCTGACTATCCTACATTGTGACAACAGAAAATCTGCCAAGGATTTTGCTATATTTTAAGAGCCTGGATGCAAATTTACCGTGGCTGAACTAGTGATCAAGGAACTTTCCAGACATTTTCATCCTAGTGGATTGTTTTAAAAAAAAACATTCTTTTAAAAATATTCTTTCAAAAATTTTGAAACTACCAGCATCTCTCATTTTGTGCACATGTACAGACATAGTAAAATCAACAAAGCCCAGTCCGATGAAATCATAATGGATGAAATATGTCACAAAAAATTTTTTTCCAATTTGTCATACTATTTTTCTAAACATATATATATATATATATTGCATCTTGCATAAAACAGCCTGTCTCCTCTAAGTGTTGACTTCAATGTTCACTTTTATATTTACATACACTCTGTCTCTGATATTGAGCACTTTATCCCCAAAATATAGCACACCTTAACACTATATTTCTTCATATATATATATATATATATATATATATATATAATGGCTCGCTACTTGTTTCCAAATGCACTGATCTACTAACACAATAAGCCATCCTTGTTGCAGACACCTTCTCAGGCTCATTTGTGTTTGTAAAAACCACATGGTTTATATGAAATCTTTACTGAGTATACCTTACTTACAGATTTTGGGAGAGAGTGTATAATCTGGCATGAGCAACAGATTGAACAAGGCCAGTACGCTAAAATCCTCAGTCACAATGACTTATAAGTTCATGTTAGGACAAGAATCAACAGCTTCTGAATAGTTCCATCAACCCAATTGCATTCACAAGGCTTGGGTCATATTGTCATGTATTAATATGTAGGCATACATATTACTTATATGTTAATATACAAGAATAAAGGCGCCTCACCATAAAGCAATGGTTAGCAAACTAGTCTTGAAGAAATTAGTCTTGTAAATTTTTATTAGCCAAATGAGGGTAATTCTCATTGGGTACCTCACACTTGTGACCAATCTTTAATTATTTGGATTCAAATGTTTCAGTTGTATAGATGGTTTTAAATCAATTCACCCCCAAGTAAGGCAATAAAGCCACTAAGATGCAAGGGGTTACTGAGTGTTAGAGAATATGAGAAAAATATACTATTAAGAAGAGAGAACAATAAAAGAACAAGTATTAAGTAGACAGAAGATAAGGATTGACATTGCATTTAAATTTTGAAGATCAAACTTGACTGGAAAGCAAGAAGCTGGAAGAGAGTTCCACAAGCAAGAAGTGTGATGGAAGAAACTGTTAGCATAGAACTTACAGTTACATCTCGCCATTTCAACAGTAAAATGATGAGACCTTGCCACAAATCTAATCAATATTAGCTTTATAAAAGAGAATGCCAACTAATTGAATATGTAAATTTTTGATTATCCTTCATCGCAGTTGTTCTAATGAGCTTTCCTCCTTGGTACCTCAAATGCATGAATTGGCAGTTAGGTCTCATTGTTTTATGGTTGAATTAGCTAGATGTAACTATAAGTTTTATTTTAATAATTTTTTTACTCACACTTATCACCTGGGGAACTCTCCTGTGAAACTTTTCTGAACACCTACAATCTTCAAGCATTTAAATGCAATAGCATTTACCATTTTCTCTTTTCCTGAATCCTCTTTATTTATTGTCCTTTCTACTTACTACTCTTCTTGTTCTCTTACACTCCTTATGTCTTAGTGGCATTAGGAAGAGATTATCTCATTGTTCCAGTTT